TTCGGCGACTCGTGGCCCTCTGGGACCGCCTGGGGAGCGTTTTGGTGACTTCTTGGTCCGTCTTGGAGCCCTGCGCCCTCCCATGGCGCGTTCGGTCCGGGGTCGAGCCGGGCCAAGGGGGGGTGGGGGGGGGGGGGGCGCAAATTGCCGGTTTGGGGTCCCTGGAGGGGGGGGAGTGGGGTGGGGGGGGGATCATCTCACACGCATAGAGACCCACAAGGGGTCGGCGGATATGGCACGCGTCCGTTCATGGAGAACGAATCGGCGCAGCGGGAAGGGATAGGTGGGAGGGATAATATGTAAGATGGCAGGTCTGGCTCGATCGCATTTGGCTTGTCCTCCCCTTCTCTCCTCGCCCTCCCTTCTCTCTCTGTCTCTCTCTCTCTCTCTCGTCCTCCATGCCTTGCTGAACCTTATCCTCCCCCGTCTCCTTCAGCGTGTTTCCTCTCCTCCTCCTGCTGCTGCACCTCCTCCTCCTCCTGCTCCTCCTCCTCCTCCTCCGCCTCCTCCCCTTCCTCGTGATCCTGCTGCTCCTCCTCCCTTCTCATCTCGCCTCCTCCTCCTCCTCATCATCATCATCATCAGCATCATACTCCTCCTCATCCTCATCCTCCTCATCCTCCTCATCCTCCTCTGTCTCCATCTCCATCTCCTCATCCTCCTCCTCCTCCTTCTCCTTCTCCTTCCCCTCTTCCCTCCTTCACTTCCTCCTCCTCTTCCTCCTCCTCCTTTTCCGCCGCCCTCCTCCTCCTCCTCCGCCTCCTCCTCCTCTCCTCTCCTCCTCTCCTCCTCCTCCTCCTCCTCCTCCTCCTCCCTCCTCTTCCTCCTCCTCCCTCCTCCTCCTCCTCCTCCTCCTCCTCCTCCTCCTCCTCCTCCTCCTCCTCCCCTCGCCCTGCCCCTCCTCCTCTCCTCTCCTCTCCTCCTCCTCCTCCTCCTCCTCCTCCCTCCTCTCCCCGCCTCCTCTCCTCCTCCTCCTCCTCCTCCTCCCTCCTCCTCCTCCTCCTCCTCCTCCTCCTCCTCCCTCCTCCTCCTCCCCCTCTCTCCCTGCCCCCCCCCTCCCCCCTCGAGAGCACCCCGCACGGGCCGCGCTTCGCGACCGCGGGCGCTGGCGGCGCTGCTGCTGCTGCGGCCGCCGGGCGGGCGGGGGGGGGCTGAGGCCGTGGCCCGCTCTGGGGCGCCCCTGGGGCCCCTCGTTTCCCTCCTTCCCCTCCACCCCTCCTTTCCGAAAGTTTGAGGCCTTATGTTTCGTTCCCTCCTCCTTCGCCCGCCTCCTCCTCCTCCTCCTCCTCCTCCTCCTCCTCCTCCTCCTCCTCCTCCTCCTCCTCCTCTCCTTTCTTTCTCCTCATCCTCTTTCCTCCTCCCTCCCCTCCCTCTTCCTCCTCGTCCTCATAGCTCCTACTCCTCCTCCTCCTCCTCCTCCTCGTCCTCCTCCTCCTCCTGCTCCTCCTCCTCCTCCGCCTGCCTCCTTGTTAGGACTCAGGACTGTTTGCATCGGAATACATGGCAGGATGCTGCAATCCTTTACCTCCTCCTCCTCCTTCTCCTCCTCCTCCTCCTCCTCCTCCTCCTCCTCCTCCTCCCCTTGGTTTCGTGCAGGGCGCCTCGGGAGTGCCCAGAGCATCCCGAACGGCAGTTGGATACCCGAGTTATGGCCTGAATACAGACCCCCTCGCGATGCAAAAACAGGACGACACATCAGAGTGAGGGGGTCGAACGCTCATTATTTGATCACGGGTCCGTGGCTGAAGTGGGGGTCCGCGGGGAGGATTAAGCTTGTTGTTGTCGTTGAACATTATTTCTTCTTAAGAATAATTATTGTTGGGACCCCTGGTGCGCGACCCCCCCGCCGCGCCTAGGCCGCAGCCACATTTTCATCATTTTCGTGAGGAAGTCTCAGGCAAAACGATTGGTACCGGATCCGGTTTTTTGTTGACGCTCGTTTTCCCTTGCAAAAAACAATAGAAAATGAAAATTCTTGTTCTTAGTTGATCAAATTGCAAGAATCCCTTGCAAAAAATAAGGTAAAGTGGACATTCGTGCGCGCAAGACGAAATCCTTCCAAAACCTTAGGTTTCGTAACGATTTTAACATAAAAACATCAAAAACCCAATGGTTTTTAAGAAAAAATTGTCAAAATGTCCTTCCGCGCGCGCTGTCCGAATCCCACAAAACCAATGGTTTTTCAACATTTATGTTACATGAGCTCGCGCGAGCTACTTTTTCTTGTTCTAACATAATCAAATTTCAATAATCCCTTGCAAAAAATAAGGTAAAGTGGACATTCGCGCGCGCAAGACGAAATCCTTCCAGAACCTTAGGTTTCGTAACGATTTCAACATAAAAACATCAAAAAGCCAATGGTTTTTCAAAAAAAAAATGTCCAAATTTCATCCCGCGCGCGCTGTCCGACTCCCACAAAACCAATGGTTTTTCAACATTTATGTTACATAAGCTCGCGCGAGCTACTTTTTCTTGTTCTTACATAATCAAATTTCAACATCCCTTGCAAAAAAAAAGTAAAGTGGACATTCGCGCGCGCAAGACCAACAAAAAACACGACGATCTCAGGAACTTGCCCCAAAAATGTGGCCAACTCCGCTCTCTCTGTCTCTCTCTCTGTCTGCTCTCTGTCTCTCTCTGTCTGTCTGTCTGTGTCATGTATTGTATGTCACAATTGCAGGATGCTGGGCACACGCGCGCCCCGAATAAGTGACCAAGTTCTGTGGGTGTGTACCCCACGCCAGTGTAGTAGCCACGGTCGTCCGCACGCCACGAAGTGAAGTGTCCCAACGTCATAGGGCGGGAAGCTGGGTTTGGGTGGTCGCGAAGAGTCGTTTGGATATTTGGTAGAGCTTGAACTGCCCCCCCACGAAGTGGGGGTATTGTCTCGCGTCGCATGAAAACCCTGGCACTGGTGAGAACACTGAGCGTTCGGGTAAAATGATTGTTGTTGTTGTTGTTGTTGTTGTTGTTGTTGTCGTCGCCCCCCCCAGACCAGCACGCGACCCACCCGCGACCCACCCCGCGACCCACCCCGCGACCCACCCCGCAACCCACCCCGCGACCCACCCCGCGCCCCACCCCGCGACCCACCCGCGACCCACCCCGCGACCCACCCCGCGACCCACCCGCGACCCACCCCGCGACCCACCCCGTGACCCGCCGTGACCACCCGCGACCCACCCCGCGACCCACCCGCGACCCACCCCGCGACCCACCCCCGCGACCCACCCCGCGACCGCCCCACCCCGCGACCGACCCCCGACCCACCCCGCTACCCACCCCCGCGAACCACCCGCGAACCCGGCCCGCGACCCCTACGCGACCCACCCGCGACCCATCCGCGACCCGGCCCTCGGCCCACCCGCGACCCACCCGCGACCCACCCGCGACCCACCCCGCGATCCACCCACATTGCTTTAACGAAGAGGTCGGCGCCTGCGGCGGGCTCACTGCATAATTTGTAAAAGTTGGGCGCCTGCGGCGGGCTTCTTCAGAGCCTCGCAGACTGACGACGTCCTCGCCGCCCCCTCACTCTTATCCGCAACTGCGGGGTGCTACGTAATGTGTTGTTGTTGCGCGTGTTTGAGCCTGGGGGCCCTCACAGGACCCCAGGACGGTCAGGAAATGACTCGGGATGAAAACCGGAAACCAATTTTCCGGGGGGTCGCACGGTTTTAGTACTCAGGTCGTTGTCAGGGTATTTCTCCGGCGATTGGGGCCTCCAGAGTTTCCAAACATGGAAAAGGTTTTTGGGGATTGCGAGGTCACCGCGCAATCTGTCACCGCACAGTTTCGGCTCTCTTTCTCCCCTCTCGCACGGGCTCGATGTGTATATATATATATATATACACACAACACGTCTTCAGGTCGGCCAAAGGCCCCAGGGAGTTCGGCGAAGGAATTTGGTGTTGCTCGCTCCAGCGTCCCACCACTGGATGGAGCTTGGGCGTCTACACGCCGAGCTCCTTGGCCGACCAGACGACTTGGTGTATATTTCGAGCCCCTCCTTCCCTTCCCTATCTTGGCTGCTATCCTGGGAGGTTCTTCAGCATCGAAGCTGGTAGATCATTTGTCGAACAACGTTATGATTCTATGGCCCTTGTCCGGCTTGATCCGTGCAATGTGGTTGCATCCCGTGTTCGATCCCGCCTAGTCAGGTTTAGTGGACCTTTTTCTCGGGCTTCATAGCCTTTACCCGTTCTCATGAAGACCTCCCAAAAGGTGCCTCTTTATTTCTTTCTTTTTCTAGACCTCCTGGCCTCTGACCCGTTTTTCCGTCTGGAAACGACGTTTTTTTTGCAGACGTCTCGTCTGTTCTGAGAGGGTTTCTCGCCCCAGCAGGACGCTTTCCAGCAGCTGCGCCTCGTCGAGAGCGTTCCGAGGGTGTCCGAATCGTCCCGGCCGCCGGCGGCTACAGTCATGGTTTGGTAGACGTCCTCGCGGTGCGAAATACATAACGCTGGAGGGTTTCGGGCAATTGTCTGCTTTCGGGGGCCCCAGGGCCGTAAAAGCAATGCTCGGGATGAAGGTTTGCCCCCGCGAGGGGGTCCAGACAAGAGGGGGGCCCACGCTGCGGAAGAAATCGTGGCGTTGGAGTAGTTACTGTAGGGAGCCACATGCAAAGCCTACCCCTACACCCCCCACGACTTCTGAGGGGGAGGGTGGGGTTCACTTCGCTCGGCATCCCCCGAGCGAAGTTCAGCCCACTCTCCCCCTCAGAAGTCGTGGGGTGTGTAGGGGTAGGCTTCGCAAGTGGCTGTCTGTACTGGCTTCTATTGCGAGAAGGAGGAAGAGGAGGAGGAGGAGGAGGAGGAGGAGGAGGAGGAGGAGGAGGGAGGGAGGGAGGAGGAGGAGGCGGAGGAGGAGGAGGAAGAGGAGGGGTGGGGGAGGGGAGGGAGGGAGGAGGATAGGGAGGAGGAGGGAGGACGACGGACGAGGAGGAGAAGGGGAGAGGAGGGAGGAGGAGATGAGGAGGAGAGGAGGAGGAGGAGAAGGGAGAGCGGGTCCCCACGCCGGGTTCCCCGGGCGGCGGTTCGGACAGCTCGCCCCACCCCCGCATCCCGCGGGGCGCCCCCTCGGCGGGCGGCTCCCTCCGCGCCTCCCCGCCGCCCGGAGCATCCCGGGCCGTGGTGTTCGGCGGCGGGCGGCGGCGGCTGCAGACAGGACGCGCGGGCTGGGGGGGGAGGAAGAGGAGGATGAGGAGGAGGAGGAGGAGGAGGAGGAGGAGGAGGAGGAGGGGGATGATGATGATGATGATGAGGAGGAGGAGGAGGAGGAGGAGGAGGAGGAGGGAGGAGGAGGAGGAGGAGGAGGAGGAGGACGAGGAGACGAGGAGGAGGAGGAGGAGGAGGAGAAGGAGGGAGGACGAGGAGGAGGAGGAGGGCGCAGCCGCTCAACACAGCAGAAACCAAGTGGACCGACACCACCAGTAATCACAAAGTGGATTTCCATACACTCCTACACCCACAACCACAACAAGACACGTTCCCAAGCAGGCCTATGCCAAAATTCACGTCAGCAGAACGACCACGACCATCACGACTACGACTCGCCTGATACCCTACAAACCACCAGCAGCTCACCTGATCGAACAAGCTAACCAGGCAGCACAACAGCAACCGACCACACCCCAAACCAACAGCGCAACTCACCCACATTCAGCACTATGATCAAATGGTCACCATCACACCTTGTCATTCCGGTACACCCACCACCACCTGCACTAAACATACTTATCATTTACCCACCAGAGGGCATCAACGCCAAACAATGGATACAATATTTTCCCTGGCGACAGCTGGCACCACAAACGCTGGCGAAGCGGCGCACCTACTTTCCAACGATCGCAGCACAAGCAATCGCAACACACCACGAAACGTCACGACGAGGAAAACACCAGATCCGCATGTTCAACCGACGCATCATCTTCCTCAACAAGGTTGGAGACCCTACGTTCCAGGACTAAATCGCCAGGCTTGGCACGTACCAGACCCGCTACGATAACTACCTCAACTGTTTACACGAACGCACACCCGGGGCGCCATTCAGGGAGCCGCCGCCCATGTACATGTTAACGCTACACAATGCTACTCCCAAGCCCAAACCGACGATCGCCAACACGGATCAGTCTACGTAAACGACATGATATCCCACCACAACCAGGATTGGGCAGTGCTTCGATATACCACGACACTCACGACCAGTATTTCCTCCCATCCAATCACCGCAGATGGACCTCACATGACTTGGTAGAGACAGGCACGCCCGGTCGCAGTCATACCGTCAAAACAGACAATTGACCTGCAATACACCTTTCCTCCTTTTCCCTCGCGGCGCCCACTGATCATTCGACATGATTGGTGGCACTCTCAGTCGCAAGTCTGGGGCTACCTCGCAAAACCCCGGGTCACAGCCCTGGGATTGCACATTAACTCTACAGGCCAGGTATACGACCGCATCTACCTACGGCGTGACACCCACTGCCGATTTTGATGGACGCCCAAGGCGCTGCATCCACTCGCTTCGAGTCTTGCTCACAAATACTTACAGTAGTCCCATTTCTTTCGGGTGCTTGGCCAGCCACTGGTACAGGTCAGCCAAACAAAATATGTTGCACAGCGATTTGCCCCTATCGTTCTCACCTGCTGTTGCGCTGATGCGTTTTGGCCACATCGGCTCAGTACCTCGTGGCACTCCCCCCTCCTGCAGTTGCAGACATGCCTGCACAACTCTGGCAGTCCACAGACGCCACCTTGGTAGTATCAGTACTTGCTCTGCGCGAAAATCAGCGTGCACATCTACGCGGGGTAGCAGCCTGTACATCAATTGCTTCTTGTTCGATATATTTTCCTGCAGCTGCCGTTAACTGATACAGGCTGCTTCCACCAGTGCTCTGGGCTCCACACAGTCTTACCATCATCCCTTCTCATTGAAAGGCTGCGGTGGTGGAGGTGGAGGTGGTGGGAGGAGGTGCTCCCTCTTGCAGATCTGGGGTTGCCCTGAAAAGCCCTGGGTCGCAGCCCGAGGATGCCAAACTTTTTTATTCAGGGCCCCTGTCTCCTCACATCGCTGTCCTGGTGCACGCCCTCCTTCTTCCCTCGCGGATCATTCGACACGAGTGGGGGCAGTCTCCCATTTGCAGGCTCGGTGCTGTCCTACGGATTGCACGGCAGTTTTACAGGCCAGGTGTGGTACCGCAGTTATCCACGGCTGCATACCCGAGGCTGACTTTGATGGACGTCTAAGGCGCTCCATCCGCTCATTTCGGATTGTTGCACACAATTACCAACAGTAGTACCATCGTTGAGCACTCAGTTGGCCTCTGTTGCATGTCGGCCGCATGCAGTTATCTGGCATAGCGATTTGCCTATCGTTCGCACCCGCTGCTACGTTTACCTTTTTGGTTGGCCACGCCGGTGTCGTACCTACGTGGCGCTCCCTCTCGACGATTGACATTAGATACGGCGACGGTGGCCCCTCCCTCCTAGGATTCGAAGAGCGGGCCTACTGCTGGCAAAACGATCGGGCCTGCTGCTGGCCAGTGGGGCTTTTCACTTGCACTTGGACTTTCAAGGCGTGTTGCCCCCCACACAGCTCACATTTGTTTATATGCATGCCACGGCCACTCGGCGTGCACATAATATGTTTCATTATTTCTGTTCTGGTCGTTCTTGTGAGCAACCTGCTTGCGTAAGGGGACAAGTTGCACAGCGCGCGCGATAACCCTGTGATGCTATCACGGCCACAGCGCAGGCCCACTTGATCATGACTGGCCAGCCTGCGCGTGCCAGCGTTTGCTTCTCAAAATAACACGGATGCAGCACGTGCATCCTCTGATCAAGTTCTTGGTGTTCCCTTGCTCTCTGTTGTTCGTTGCTACGAGCTGCTTCCACAAGGAACTCCAGGCTTCACAAAGTTCCTGCTCACTGCAGTCTGCCAAGACGGCACCTGTTCTGGAGGAGTGGGCGTTCAATGGCTTTGGTGGAGGAGGAAGACTTCGTGCAGGTACGACCTGACTCTGCATCGTTTCTCTTAGCTGACAGCTTGCTGGCTACAGTGGGAATGACCTGTCATTCCTATTGTGGGCTACTGACCACGCGCAGCCATATAGACTTCAAGCTCGCTCACACGTTCAGATTATTCAAGCATCTGGCATGTGTTGTCTGTTGGGCACCAGCAGCCGCATGCTCTTTCTCTGCTCCTTCCTCACATTGCTGCTGGCTCCTATGCCAGTAGCTGGCGCATGCTACGACAATTCGGTCGGGGGTATCGGAGGCGGTGGTGAGAACTATGGGGGGTGGTGGGTACACTGAGTTATCATCGCGCACTCAGTACCACTCCCTTTCAAGCCTGGCGTCGTTGCATGTATCTGGACTTTACACATTGTGACGGCGTGGCCTATGAATATTATGTATGTTTACGTTACCTCGTTTACTTGCTTGCCAAGGTCCGTGCCGCCCTAGTGTTGTAGCCTTCGTGACGACTTCCACCATCGATGTCAAGGTTGCTTCATGGCTACCTCTATTTTGATATGCTGCTTTTCTACTCATGTGAGTGTCGTCACACCTGGCGGGCGCCTACTCTCACTGGTATTCTTGCCCGTTGCTCGTTCTCGGTCGTTTTCCGCGGCGCCCGCCAGGTATTTGTTCTTGACCCGAGTCGTTTGTTCCTTTCATTGCAAGAACGCCACATGTGCACACACATGGTCTGGTCGATGCAAAAAGGAAGAGGAGGAGGAGGAGGAGGAGGAGGAGGAGGAGGAGGAGGAGGGTGGCAATGGGGCCTGACCCAAATGGGGGGTGAAGCAAATGGCTCTACTGGGGCCCATATTTGGAGCAAGGCGGTGCCCAAAAGAGGCTCTGAAGGGCCCCTTTGGGGCCTTTTTCTTCACCTCCCCGTGTGGGCCACCCCTCATTACCACCCGCCCGACAACCACGCGCAGAGAATCTAGGCCTCCTAGATGGGGTCGTTGGTGGATTGGGTCGGAGGATCGCGCTGCATCGCCGATGCATCGGCGATGCGGCTCGATGTGGAGCCCGATGTCCTTCACGCCGACGTCGCCGATGCATTACCCCCGTCGACGATGCATAGCCGGCGCATCGCAGATGCATCGCCGACACATCGCCGCGCGCCGAGGATGGCAGGGTCGAAGGAGATAAACGCCATAAACATAAACTTTTGGCGCTCCGCGCGGATTCCTAGATCCGGCCTGGGCCCTCCCCCGCGGCGACACCCCTGTCACGCTCCGAGCGCCATGGAGGGGGGTCAGGCTGCTCAGAAGCACTCCTGCTTCACAGAAGGCGCGAGCCTCATCTATGGACGCGAGGGCGGCGCCTTGCAAGAAGCAGTTTCTCCTTCGAAGAAGCCTTCCCCCCCCCCCCACAGACCCCCTCGCGCGCGCGTCTAAGGGAGTGAATCCCTACGGGGTGTTCGGTCTCCGTCTGAGCTTACTCCTTCTGGATGTAGCCTTTCCTGAAGGCGGGGTGAGGAGGAGGACGGTGGACTGAACAGACGTGATTCCTCGGAGGTCCCCGAGGACTTCTTGGATTGTCGTTGGGTCCCCCTGGCGGCGATTCTGGCGCCGCTCCTGGCGCGCTCCGTGCGCCAGTGAGGGGGTCTACCGCCGATCCAGTAAGTCCACGGGGCCCTCCGAGAAATCAATTATGTTTATGCAGTTTCCATGTTCTCGAGAGGGGGAAGAACATCGAGGAGGAGGACCGAGGAAACGAGATCGTGGAAGAAGGCGCATGGATGCGGCAACGGGTCCCGTTTCCATGCCACTTCGGCGCGCCCCATCGCCAAATAAGGCGGCATTGGCCTCATGTTAGCGCGCGCCTGAGAAGAGGAGGGCGAAGGGAGCAGCAGAAACACGGCGATGATGACGAGGAGAGGGCGCAGGAGGAGGTCCGACGAGCCTCTGACCGCCCGAGAGGTTGGGGCGAGTCGAGAGCAGCGTGCAGACTGTCACCGGGTCTGCCACGACATGCCTCTCACGTGCTTGCTCTTCCCCTCTGAGTCGGATCAGAGGAAGCAGCATGGCTCATGACCCTACGTGTTCGGAGCCTTTTCGCGGATTTCTGGGATCCGCGCTCGGGCGCACTCCCTGGACCACGGAGCGCGCCAGCGGCGGCCGGCGCCGCCAGCGGTTCTCTTGCTGCTCCTCGTTTTTCCCCCCAGACATGTGACGTCTTGTTTTTTCGGTGCGGCGCCCCCGGAAGTCCGGACCCTTTCCCCGGGGCCAGCGTTTCGTCTTGAGTCGTTGTTTGACGGTGCCAGAGCCCGGCGAGGGCCCCCGAGAGGCCGAAACTTGTGGAAAACCCTCGTCCTGTTTTTAAGTACGACGCGATCACGTCTGGGCTACTGGCGTGCCCCTTCAGCGGGGGGTAGAGGACCACGCCGCTGAGCTGGAACGCTTCGCCGCCGCCTCCGGCGCGCCCACGTCGCCCACCACGGGCAGCGGGCAGCGCAGCGGCGGGAGCCTGACGCACGACGAGTGGGTGAGCCAGGCCGCGGGAGCTCCTCGCTTCCCCCATTCTCCTGCTTCTCCTCCCTCCTCCTCCCTCCTCGTCCTCCCTCCTCCTCCCTCCTCCTCCCCCTCCTCCCTCCTCGTCGTCCCTCCTCTTCCCTCCTCCTCCTCCTCCCCCTCCTCCTCCTCCTTCTCCTCTCCTCCCTCCCCCCTCTTCCTCCTCCTCCTCCTCCTCCTCCTCCTCCTTCCTCCTCCTCCTCCTCCCTCCTCCTCCTCCTATCTCCCCCTCCTCCTCCTCCTCCTCCCTCCTCCTCCTCCTCCTCCCCCTCCCCCTCCTCCTCCCCTCCTCCTCCTCCTCCTCCTCCTCCTCCTCCTCACCCCTCCTCCTCCTCCGCGCTCGCGCCTCCGCAGCTGTCCTGGTCTCCCCGCGTGGGAGCAGCCTGAGTGGACCTCATGTGGGTCCATCGGGCCAGGCTTTGAGGCCTGGCGGCGGCTTACCTTGGGTAAGCTTCTGGAGCGCCTTGATGCCACCCTCTGTTGGTGGTGCACACTGCTCCCTGAATTTCTTTGCTGCACGGATGGTCCATGCTCCACATCGGGAGCACCAAAGGACACCATTCAATTTCTTGATGAACGGCCCGTGGGACGGATGAAAACGATTTTGCGGCCCTGGGGGGACGCAGGGGGCCTTAAGCCACCTGGGTGTTCCCTTGATGACACTACCTTGCTTGCCACAGGCGAGACAAGCAATCTGGAAAAGGGGAGGGACGGGAGCAGCGGAGAGGGAGTGGGGCGTCCTAGACAGCTCGACCTGCAAGGCTGCTACACTGCGCTCCACCTTCACTTTCATACGGTTCTCCTTGACATCCTCATCATCCTCGAGGCCCAGTGGGTCTTTGTAACTCCAGTAGTGGCTCTGAACTGCTGCCAATCTGTCCCTGATGAGATCGGCGTGAATGTCGGTGCCTTGGAGGTGTCGAACGAGGGGCCCTGGGACTTGACGCCACTGTGCTGCTTCCGCAGCGAGAATGTCGGCATGGCCATTGAGGTGTAGGGCCCATGGAGGCTCTCGAGCGGCTTCTTCCTCCGTGGGGTGGCTTTTCACTTTGTAGAAGATCGTGCTGTCCCGTCGGTTTTTGGCCTGGGTCCAGAACTTCTGCCAAGTGAACTGGTTCTTGGGGTGCCGAGAGCGGGGGCCTCTGTTGAAGCCCTTGATCACATAGGCACAGTCAATCACGATAATGAGGCGGCCGCGAGTGGACTCCAGCAGCGCAATGACTGCCTCGAGCTCCGCCAGCGGTACCGTCTGCGGGGCGATGCTGCCTCCCTGGGTGGTTCCTTTCCAGGTGAGGTCGTGTGCCCACAAGGATACGCTCCAGCCACAGACTCTGATGCGCGGGTCCTGCGTATGAGGCCCTCCACTGCCGTCTGTGGCTGCCACTTGCCAGCCATCGAACTGATAGACTGCATGCTGTTCAAATACTCCTTTTCGGACCGTGTCCTGATCTAGTCCCAGAATGTGCCCATGGACTTGACGTATGATCGTGGCGGGGATGATCCCTCGGAGCCAGAGACTGGGTTCCATTGGGGACTCTGCCACTGCCCGGTCTATGGAGCCCTGGGTCCGATTGATGGCGGGGATGTTGAGACTTCCCAATTCAGGACACGTCCAAAATTTGTGTAAATCATCTCCGTGTTCTTGCCCGCAGAGAGGACATTCGGCGTCATCCTGCTGGCCGCTCTCAAACCTGCGATGGGCGCTCCAGCACCTCGAGCAGGAAACGGCCTCTAAAGCTGCTGGGAAAGTTGCTTCTCGCTGGAGTTCCTCCTGGGCCTGGACTTGCTGGGCTCGGGGGAAGGGGGTGCTCGGCTAGCTGCTTCTCTCGCTTCTTGATGGCGGCCCGCTTTCTGGCAGGGTAGAGCCGCAGGGAATACACGTCCCCCCCTCCTGGAGGCCTCCAGAGTTATGGCTGATAGGGTAGGTTGCTTTCCAGACATGCATGTTCAAGAGGAACTCCAAGTGAAACATGAAAACCTTCTGGCTGTCCCAGCTCAGCGGTTTGACGGGGAAATCGAGGCCCTCAGGGTCCCTCCAGAGCCAAGCCGAGGTAGGGGTCCAGCCTAGGTCGTACAGGGTGGCAATGATCGCGGACATGTGGGACCTGACCATGAGCCACCTTGATGGTATCTTGAGCTTCTCCCTCAGAGTCTCCCAAGCCTTCTGGATGCCTCCGAGGATGCTGAGTTCGGTGTTGATAACCCGAAACCACATCGTAAACAGCTGGACCCGAAGATAAATCCTGGGTCCATGTTGGATGGGTGTCCTGGACGGGTATGGAGGCCAGTGGTAAGGCAGGCCCCTGCTTTAGAAACTCCATGTGCCGCTCCCGCCAATCGGCGGAAATACTGGACTTCGGTCGGTGCTGATCCGTGTCCCTCCATGCCCCACTTCAGCTGCGGTAGGGCGCCTGTGCGGAAAAGTGATCGCGCCTTGGTTGTCCTCCTCCTCCTCCTCCTCCTCCTCCTCCCTCCTCCTCCTCCTCCTCCTCCTCCCTCCTCCTCCTCCTCCTCCTCCTCCTCCTCCTCCCTCCTCCTCCTCTCCTCCTCCTCCTCCCCTCCTCCTCCTCCTCCCCCTTTTACTCTTCCCTCTCTCCCCCTCCCCTCCTCCCCTCCTCCCCTCCTCCCCCTCCTCCCTCCTCGTCGTCCTCCTCTTCCCTCCCCTCCTCCTCCTCCTCTCCTCCTCCTCCTCCTCCTCCTCCTCCTCCTCCTCCTCCCCTCCTCCTCCTCCTCCTCCTCCTCTCCCTCCTTCCCTTCCTTCCTTCCTTCCTTCCTTCTTTTCCTTCCTTCCGTCTCCTCCTCCCCTCCTCCTCCTCCGTCGTCCCTCCTCTTCCTCTCCTCCCCTCCTCCTCCCTCCTCCTCCTCCTCCTCCTCCTCCTCCTCCTCCTCCTCCTCCTCCACCTCCTCCCTCCTCCTCCTCCCTCCTCCCTCCTCCTCCTCCTCCTCCTCCTCCTCCTCCTCTTCCTCCTCCTCCTCCTCCTCTCCTCCTCCCCTCCTCCTCCTCTCCTCTTTCTCCTCCTCCTCCTCCTCCTCCTCCTCCTCCTCCTCCTCCTCCTCCTCCTCCTCCTCCTCCTCCTCCTCCTCCTCCTCCTCCTCCTCCTCCTCCTCCTCCTCCTCCTCCTCCTCCTCCTCCTCCTCCCACCTCCTCCATCCTCCTCCTCCTCTCCTCCTCCTCCTCCTCCTCCTCCTCATCCTCCCCCTCCCCCTCCTCCTCCTCCTCCTCTCAAGCCACTTCGGCTCAGGCGCATTTTGCACCACCTGAGCTGCCCCAGTACCTTCACGTGGTGCTTGAGGGATTTCCCCGCAGCGAGACCAGTCTTTCGCTCTTGGGGTCAACCAGAGCTGGGGCTCATGACAGTTCCTGTTGCCCGTCGCTCGACCAGGCTGTGGAGCCGATGCAAGGCCTGCCACGCATGCGAGTACAACGATCGGCTCGGCCCAGATCAGCCACAGTGCCCTCGCTGCAGTCGGCCCATGCGCCTTCATCGAGGCCGCTCTCGATCGCCCAGTGTGGTGCGCATCAACGAGCACGCCGAGGTCATCTCGATCGACGGGAACACCAGCCAGCGCGGAGGCGGCCGAGGCGGCCCCCGCGCGCGTGGTGACCGCAGCGGCAACCATGGCAGTGACGACCCCCTCGCCGTACACTTGCGGCAGGCCGTCGCCGCCGCAGAAGATCCACAGATCAAGGGCGTCCTGCAGGCGCAGCTCGCGCGCCTCGACGCCGTCGCTGATGAAGGACCACCCCGTGGATCGGTCGTCGAGAGCATGCGGCAGGCCGATGGCGCCTGGCGCGCTGCGGTCAATCGGCACACGCAGATTGTGAATAATGTGATCAAGCTCCGTGCCAGCTTGGCAGCGGCTGAGGCCAAGGAGGCCGAGGCCGCTCTGCAGGTGGCCAAGACGGAGGCGATGAAGAAGAAAGCGGCTGAGGCGCTGGCCAAGGCCGAGGGGGTTCAAGGGCCCGAGGGCGGTGGCGTCGCGCAGCACGACGGCCAGGCCGCCTTCTCCGTGTCCTGGGACCAGGACCTTTTCGCCGAGGCGGCCGACCTCGACTTCGCCGAGGGCGAGAAGGCCGAGCTCGAGCGGGTCAAGGCAGCCCTCGAGGAGCTGAAGAAGCAGTTCGACACGAAGGAGCCGCAGGTCAAGGCGCTGATCGAGAGGGCCCGCACGGTCCGCAAGGCACAGGAGGAGCGGCTCAAGAAGAAGCGCAAGGGCGGCGACGGCCAGGCCACGCCCCCTGCTGCTGGCGAGGGCGAGCGCACGGGCGCCCAGGGCGGCAGTGCGAGCCCAGGAGCGGGCCCCGCAGCTGCCGACGGCGGCGGCGCCGCGGCGTCAGCCGCAGCCGCGGCCGAGGAGGGGGCGCTCAAGACCGAGGCGGCGCGGCTGTCGGCGGCACGTTTCGCGGCCCAGACGGCGCTCGGCAAGGGCAAGGACGGCAAGGGCGGCGGCAGCCAGGCTCGTGCCGCCTCGCATTGACTAGATGGTGATCTTCGGCAAGACGGGGCCCCTGGCCCCGAGGCTGCCGTCGCTGGCAGCAACAGTACCCGTGCAAGTACCCTGCTCTACGGCAACGTCACCTGCATGGGCGACAAGTGCTGGGAGTACATCAGTAGTCGACAGGACGACTACATCGGGCTCGTCGAGACGCACATCTCTGCAGCTGATGTGGGCAGCTGGCAGTCTCGGGCGAGAAAGGAGTGCATGAAGTTGATAGCCAACCCAGCGCGGCCGTCGCGGCATGGGCATCCTGATGGGTGGACAGGTGATTCGTCCGAATCGTCCGCAGGACATGCCAACGAGGGGGGCGAGTGGTTTCTGGCCAAGGGTCACTTGCAGACGCACGTGCTCCACGAGGGCATCCAGTCCACAGCGCTGCAGGCCAAGCCGTCCACCAGCGTAGATGGCTTTCTGCCTGTAGTGCTGCATTTCAGTGGGTACTCAATAGTAGTGATTTTTTTCCTATGGGTTTTGTAGTATAGG